GGCCATTTGGACTCACTTGAAACACACAAAATAATGGGGTTCCCGTAAGAAAGAGGGATTCTATCACCCAAAGAAGTAATAAAGGAAAGAATTGGAGTAGATAAAAATTATAGCTAATCTACTGTGAGGGAACAGTGTGTCTAGAATCCCCTTGTTCCCCACTTATCCACCTGGCAAAGTCTGACTCGTGCTTCATGATCTATCCCAAAATTCATGACTCTGTAGTGTTTCCTGACTCCCCATGACAAAAATTGTTTCCCTTTTTAAGTTCCTATAATTTCACCCTCAGTAGCAGGTATAATGAAGTTAGATAGGCCTGGCTTCAATTCTTCAAACTTTGACTCCTCATCTTTAAAACAGGGATACCACCGTCAACCTCAAAGGACTGTGGCTGTGATTAAAGATGTCAGTATAAAGTGACTGCATATATTAGGCACTCAGATGTTAACCTTGCTCCCTCCTCCTCCCCACCTTATGCCATATTAGAATGAATTCTTTGGAGAATTAAGCTGTTTTTTTTTTTTGCGGTACGCGGGCCTCTCACTATTGTGGCCTCTCCCGTTGCGGAGCATAGGCTCCAGACGCGCAGGCTCAGCAGCCATGGCTCACGGGCCCAGCCGCTCCGCGGCATGTGGGATCCTCCCGGACCGGGGCATGAACCCGCGTCCCCTACATCGGCAGGCGGACTCTCAACCACTGTGCCACCAGGGAAGCCCCTGGAGAATTAAGTTTTTACTCTTCTGTATTCCCAGCACCTAGGCAGAGCTTGGCATATATTGGGTTCATGATAAATGTTTGATAATAGACAAATATGGACAGGGGGATACTGTACTGATGGAAAAAACAATTACCTGTAGTAAAGTTGGCTGTATGTAGGACTTGCTCCTCTGGTAAACTATAAATTCCCTGAGTATAAGGGCCACATTGTGCAAATCTCTGCATTATACTTGCCATGACTTAACAAAAGGGCTTTGCTAGTAAGAATTAAAAGACTTGAGATTGGATAGTCCCAGGATGGGTGAATTTGGGCAGCTCTTCCTCTGAAGAAGTCAGTCTTATAAAGTACGTAGCTATACTGCCCTCTGAAGACTACGGATTTTTCTCAGAACATCACTGAAATAGATCTCCCTATTAAGAGCTATACCCAGAACTCTGCTGAAGCTTTAAGTTTTCACATGTGAAATGTTGCAAGAAGCTCTTCTAAATTTCCCAAATAACAATTTCTAAAAATAGGGAGACCCAGGAGTTAAAAACACAGTCTTCTCATTGTTCTTCTTTCGCAAATTTCTTATACTGAGGAAACTGTTTTTAAAAAGTAAGCATGGGGAATTCCACGGCGGCCCAGTGGTTAGGACTCTGTGCTTTCACTGCCGAAGGTGTGGGTTCAATTCCTGGTTGAGAAACAAAGATCCCACAAGCTGTGCGGTGTGGCCAAAAAAAGTAACCATGTGTATTGCTATTACAGTTTACGCTATATTTATTAGACAATTGACAAGAAAAACAATGTTTGGCACAAGAATGCCAATTTATTCTTTTATGGACACATGAACACAAAATATCCCTGCAGGCCAAAAAAAAATTGCAAAATTTAAACAACCATCATCTTATCTCAACTCGGGGATACCACCCCTCCCTTAATAGTTTAGAAAGTACCTCGTATTGCTAGAGACATACATCCAGTCCAAATTTAATAAAATACATTTTAGAACATTACAGGCCTAACAATATAGAAACAAAAATGACACCATTAGTCAAATGAACAAATGCAAACGTTTTTCAGCTACTAGACATAGAAAGAGCATGAATATGTCAATAGCAAGGGGTAAGAAAATGGTTAATCGATAACAAGCTCTTCCCTTTAATTTTACAAGGAAAAATCCTTGGAGTTGAAGCAGTATTGATACAATGCCCTCAGCCTCCACTTTCTTAAAATGAAAGCAGAGCTACCACCTTGCTATTGAGCAAGAAAATCTTACAGCACATCCACAAAGGGTTGCTAGGGTAGGGCGGAGAGGGTGAGCCTGGTTAAACAGTGGATTACCTTTTCCCACAGGAAGGGTAGGTAGCTGAGCCAGGTAGGTAAGCTCTGATATAGGCTGGGCACCAGATCCTAAAATACAGACCATATAGAATATGTCTGCTTGTAAATCATCACCTTTGGAAGCAGCAAATAGAATTTACAGTAAGAATGAATATGTTCTGCCTGCCCAGGCAGCTGGGCAGCTAGTTCACTCTACAGCTAACAACAACAACAAAACATAATTGTTCAACATTTGGATTTTCACCACTCTTTTAATGTCCCCGTGCCTTATCCCAAAATTGTTAACTCTTTAGCATTGCTACATTTAAATCTTTCACACTACATGACAGTGCCTGAACAGGCTGCATTTAAAAAAAACCAAACAGCCTACACCTACTTCTAGAGAATGCACACCTCCCATTGATTGACACATGCATAATGATTCAGTCAGTCCCAAGGGGTTAACGTGTTCAAATTGTCAAGCCGAATTAAAACTATGCATTCAGACCTGCTTGCAATAAGTATTGCTGCAACTCGGATTCTGCAGTAATTACCTCTTAAAGATTCACCGCTCAGCAAGTTTTTTCCAACAATCCTAATTCTTCTATATTTCTTTCCTTTTGTCCAAAACGGCAGCATTAAACCCTCAAAGGTACTGTTTTCCTATAAAAATAGGCCTCCCGGCTTTTCCTCCACCACTACACTGATTTGCCCCAGTGTACTAGGACTGACTGAGGTCTTACAAACTACAGTTCAAGGTCGAGTGTATAGCCCATCTGCAAGCACGTCAGGGCTTCCTGGCACTCCGCCTTGCTCCCTGCTCCATACATGCCAGGAGATGGTGAGAAGTGATGTTTCTTCTGTGCATTGTTAACAAGCAAGTCCGAGGCACTCAAGTGCAGATGGGGTGCCCACTGGCCAGCCAGCCAGCCACCAAGAGTTCTTCACATCCTGGACTCCAGCAAGTCATCCTTTTCCTAGAGGAAACTTCTGTTTTTCCTCCTCTTGTATCCAGGGTGGCCAAGCTGAAGGGTATTTTCTGTGCTCTCCCTGAACAAGTGTGAATAAAAAGCAGCAGCCAGCCCCTCACCAACGTGTCCTGATTTGTAGTGTCCAAGTGAGGTATTTGCAAAAAAGGAAAATCTTAAGAAATTAACATCTGCCATCTTCTTCACTCCTGCCTATGTTGTGCCTCAATTACAGAGCTTGCTTTCATCCCACTCTATGAAGAGAACAAGGACGTCTGCACTTGTATCTTAATGAGCTTTAGGACTCCATATACATTATAAAACTCTCAGAGACCAGTCTCAGCAAACACTGGTGGCGCCGCTGATCAACAGCACATGGAAATGTAAACTTTAATGTATTTACAAGCTTGTTTAAAAGACTGAAGAAAAACAGTGCTTTATATTGCTGGGATTTTGAGAAAGCTAGTTTAAGAGATTTGGACCAGCTAATGAGTTCAAGCAACATCCTTCACCATTAGATCCAGTGTTTCCCCCAGCAGCAGTTTCCAGACAGAGGTGGCAAAACCGTTTTACCACACTGCATCTATCTCTTCCCCCAGCACCTTCCTCAGCCATGTGGAGTGGCTCTGGGCCTTTTATCCCTCCTTTCAGCTCTCACTCCTGAGGTTCCAGGACAGAGAATTTGGGCTGTCAGTAAAATTTGGGCTGGGAAACACTGGCTGGAACTATCAAGACTCTATGTAACTGTTGTCCATTCACAAAGTATTATCTACACTAAATACAAAATACCTTTTCCCCCACATTTTAACTGATGCTTGCTTTAGATCAACTCCCTTTGTTTGGACAAGAAAGGAATCCTCTCTCCCTGTGAACGCAATCCAGAATCTATTAAGAAAAATCAACCTTTTCTATGCAGTTTTAGTTTAATAAAAGGAAGGAAACCCCACCAAATACATTTCAGGTTGAAAGAGAAGCAAAAAATTTCCATTACAAGCAATTGTGTGAGTAACCTTGATTCCCAGGGAATAAAGTTTTAAATGCTGGTACATTTTTGCAAGTTGCAGCATCACTCAAGGTACCTTAAGGACTGGCAAAGCCTATTCAATAAGGAAGCATCCTGGTTCTAGCTTAGTTTAAAACAAAGTGACAGGACACCAACTGTGACTATAAAACAGATAAAAAGAATTCTTTAAAAAGGCATGGAGGGCTTCCCTGGTAGCGCAGTGGTTGAGAGTCCACCTGCCGATGCAGGGGACGCGGGTTCACGCCCCGGTCTGGGAAGATCCCACATGCCGCGGAGCAGCTGGGCCCGTGAGCCATGGCCGCTGAGCCTGTGCGTCCGGAGCCTGTGCTCCGCAACGGGAGAGGCCACAACAGTGAGAGGCCCGCGTACCGCAAAAAAAAAAAAAAAAGGCATGGAAATATATGCCTTTTCTGACCAGTTTCAAAAATTGCCAGATTATGATCTATAAGAAATAGCTGATAAAAATCATACCGAAATCTCATCCAAAATACTACACTGTCAGGGGGAGGAAGAGGAGGGACTTTAAAAAATGTTTATTGCCAAAGTTAACTTGCTATGAGAAAAGTTAAAAAATCATTTAGATCTAACAAACCACACAGCAGCATAAAATGGGCATTTTTGAAAACTCTGAAAAATACTAAAAGCTAATTTTTTTCAAAGAGGGGGAAACATGAGTACTTTTTACCATGGCAGTGTTATCTGTCACCATGACATGCATCACATGTGTTACACATTCACAAAAGTCAACCTAATAAGAGAACTGCCTGTCTGAATCTGCAGCCAAATATAGTGCAATTGCCTGGCAGCCTGTACTTGCACCAGCACAAGTCTGTAGAGATCAATACATAAAGTAGTAAAACTAATAAAACTCTGTAAAACTTTCAAAAATTAATGCTCGTTAAAGGCATTTACAGTGGCGAAGTCAGAAATCTCCATTAAAAAGCCTACTGACCCACGCAATTAAATAGTTACACTGAACTGAAGTAGATTGGTTTTTCTCTCCCATTTATGCATATACCCCACTCGACGAATACAGAAAAAAGGAATAAGCTTCTCTTGTAAGACTAGAGGGATGCGGTGAACACCACAGCTAGCAAAATAGTCCATAGAAACCTTTCTCATAAAGTCCTTTAGAAAGTTCAGGCTGATTAGCCTTTGCATGATGAGGTAAAAATTCAGTCCAGTGCATCAGAAAAGATAATCAATGAGTATCTATTACTTTAAAAAAATGGCTCAATTTTGTTGATGCATCAGACAGTGCTGCGAAGTACAGATTCAGTGCAACTATTCTGAGTTGCTGGTAGAGGACCACCTGAAGTCAACTTGGCTCTCTCTAGAGGCAGTAGGCGTTTGAAACATTTTGAGCCTGCATGGGGTGCCAAACTGGTTGAGTTCTTTTTCTGAGACTCTCAGGCAAAATACATCGTGTGCTGGGTATCATGGTGGATCTGCACAGCTTTAGCCAAGGCCTGAGGATCTCGGCCATTGCTCTGTCCTGACACGTGACTGCCTTCCGCACTGTAAAGAAAAGAAAGCAAAAAAAACAAGAGTAACAAAAGACCACTTCAAACTCCACATGTTTCAAGTAGCATGAATAGTACTAGATTCAAGATCTTGGGCTCAAGGTGTGGCTCCTTAAATAATTTGTAACGTCTCTCTAAACATCAGTTTGCTCAACTGAAAATGCAATACAACTTATTTAATGGGCTGCTGCAATTAATTAGAATAATGTCTGCAAAGACCCAAATCTTCAACAGTGCCTACACAAGGACTTCCATGTGTCTGCTATGTCTGGTTAACGTCTACTTGTCCTTTAGGCTTCAGTCAAATGTCATTTCCCCCAAAGAAATCTTCCCTGATTCTGAAGTTCAGGTCAGAGCCACCTGGAATATACTTTCTCAGAATCCTCTACATTTATTTTATTTGAAAGATTATTATTTGGATAATTATTTATTTCCCTTACTGGGATGTAACCTCCAAGAAAGCAGCAACTTTGTCTGTCTTACTCACCACTAAATCCCTAGTGCCTGCCACATAGCATTGCCTCAATAACCATTTGTTGAATGGATGAATGAATGAATGAATGAATGTGCTCACCACAGTGCTGGAACATAACAGATACTCAGCAAATGTTACTATGCCACCAGCCTTTCTTGTCTTCCCCTCACTAGCTATATGACCCTGGACAAGTTAACAACTCCTCTGAACTTGATCTTTTAGGGTAACAGTAACAACTTCGGAATATACCTTTTAAGGGCACCATGTGATAAAAGGCTTAGTAAATGGGAAATCACCATCCCTCTTCTGACTTCTCTGCTTAAATTATTATTACCCTTATCATCTAGGCTCAAAATCTTAGTCATTTTTTACTTCATCCCCTTCTCTGTCACTCACATCCAATTAACTGTTGAGTAATGTCTATTTTATCCCAGGATTAGCCTTTTACGTTAAACAAAGGTAATCTTGCTCTAACATATTCTTCCAGCTTCATGCCTGCTATTCCCCTTTCAAATGCTCCAACCAAAGAAAACTTGCTATTGTTCAAACATGTCACTTGTCTTCTCTTCTTCGTGTCCATTATTCCCTCTGCCTGGAAAATTCTTTTCTCTTCTTTGTAGAGCCAAATCCTACCCATCCAGCTATGAAATCTCTAACAGACTTTCCTCTGATGTCCAATTGCACTTTCATCTATACTGCTATGGGCTAATTGTCAGTTTTATGTTTGCCTGTATTGTATCCCATACTGAAGCATAAAATCCCAGGAAACATGTCTTCCTCAACTTACAGTTTTTAGTACCTAGTACAGTGTTGGGCACACAGGCAATACCTAGTAAATGTGTTGAATGAATATGTATATTACAGAATGGAAGGTACAAAGCCACAGCTGGGCATTTTCCATCATAGCGTACTTTCAACCCGTACAGAAATAGACTTGCAGTGGAATGTCTACTATTTAGCAGCTGAATTCGGACTTGGGGAAGAGCCCAGAAACTGCTATACTTCACAGACGGTCATTTGGAAAAAAAAATTTAATGCAGAAAGCTTGTTTAGTTATTTAATAGTAGCTCAATAACAGGTCAATATGTCTGATTCTCCTGAGATCCTTATTTGGGGGTGAGAATGGTCTGGTACCCTACCTGTTCCCGACACAAACCCAGGTTCCCTCTGATACATCCTCCAAGATTGTACTGAAAGTAAAGTGAACTGGTCAGGACTTCCCCCTTGCATGAAGTGGAATCCACAGGCCTGTGACTGCTCTGACTGGAGCCAGGGCACTGGGCTGGACATCTTTTGAGGCTGCTTAGGACCTGAGCAGAACTGAAATGCATTTAGCTCTATGGGAAATCCACAGGCAGTTTCAAATGAGACTGCTTTTTGGGGCAGACTTTAGACACATCATACAAGTACGAACAAGCCTGGGCAATTTTTGGACCAAAAGTCACATTATCAGCTCTTAAAGGCACATGCAATTTTATCTGCTCCTTGAAATGTAAACCCTAAAAGGAAGTTTAACTCTTCCTAAAGGTTTTCTATAGTAGCTCATTTTTTTTTAATATGCTGCTAACACAGACAGAAAGATTTTATTTGCCTGAGAAACTTGCCTGTCATGATCTTTATCCACCAGATGATACCTTGCTCTGAATGCTACAAGGCGGGCATAATAGGCAGGGGCTGGAATAGAGACTGAGCGTGTGCACCGCACATAGGTATGACATAGCTGGTAAGTTAGTAACTGGAGCTCATCTGCGGTGAAGCAGTTGTCATCCCACAAGACCTGGTAATGTGAAGGACGGCTGGTTCCCTGGAGAAAGAGTTTTATGATTAATGTCTCTGACATGGGTTGACGACCTGAGAGAATTGAAACCTACTTAAATTCAGAAATATTCCTGCCTAGCACACCTACAAGCAGATACCTAGACCAAAAGATAACAGTTCTAGGATACAAGCATTAACAAAGTTATGTACAGTGTTTAATAACAAGTCTACTCAAGCTAGTTGCTGAATTTGCAAACACCTCCCTATCAAATCAAAGACCTGGACTAGCTTCCAAATTACCTGAATTCCTGCATGACTACAGAGGTAAAAGTCAAACTCAGATGGATGTGTGATGGTGCTATCCACGGTAGTGCCTGCTGGTACATTGCCACTTTTCCCCACCTTAAAAAAAAAAAAAAAAAAAGTGTCATTAGTCATCAAAGTGCTAAATTGAGCTCAAGCCATTAGTAACAAGTTAGTATACTGCTCTTAAGGGAACTCTTGAAAATCAGTTTAATTCAAGATGTTGAATTTTCTGTAACTTTCCGTTAGCCCAACTATTTCAACCTTATTTTCTCAAATATACCCCACTGCTTCTCTAAGGGAATCCAGACAAAGAATTATTTTACCTGTGGCTTTGGGCTACATTATTGTCATCTATTTTACAGATAACACTTCGGTGTGTTCACAGAGGGGGGAAAAAAAGACATTTAAGATGGATAAGCTTCCTGAGGGGGAAAAAAAATCAGTTTTATTCCTTATTTGGAGTGAAAAAAAAAAACAACCTACAACTTTCAGTAAAAGTTAAGATGAAGGGGCTTCCCTGGTGGCGCAGTGGTTGAGAGTCCGCCTGCCGATGCAGGGGACACGGGTTCGTGCCCCGGTCCGGGAGGATCCCACATGCTGCGGAGCGGCTGGGCCCGTGAGCCATGGCCGCTGAGCCTGCGCGTCCGCAACGGGAGAGGCCACAACAGTGAGAGGCCCGCATACCACAAAAAAAAAAAAAAAAAAAAAGTTAAGATGAAGGAATCTGTGAACTGGTTCACCAGGTTCAACAAAATTAATACTTTTACAGGATTAATAAAAGAATTCACTGGCACATGTATTGTCAGGAAGAGTGCATTGAAATGAGAATTAGGAAAGCCACAGTTTCTGTTCTAAGCCCAGCCTTGTAACTACATACCTTGAACAAAGCCTCAATCTAATCATCCATAAAATTAGGTGATGATCTCTGATACTTTTAAAATTCTAAAGTTCTTCTATAGCCAAATCCTAAAATCAAACTTCTAGAAAAGCAGAGAGGAGAACTTCAAGGAAAGGAATTAAACCTTGCTATTTGGTCAGTTTTCATCCACTTCTGCTGTACACATGGGTTCCACACGAGGTAGTACATTTAGCATATTGGCACAAATTTGATGGGAATTTATTTGGCTCCATTCTAACTATTGTTAACTTCAGCTGAAGATCATGCCCCAATGCATATAATAACAACATACATGAGTATAGAAAAGTCTCATTCCATGAAATTCATATGTGACCTGGGGTACTTAGCTGGACAAGAGGAAATGTAACTGAGCTACAATCATTCTAGTATTGTTTCCCAAAGTGTATGCTTTAGAAATATTAGTTCTGCAGGATGTGTTTAGGTGTTTTATGGTCAAATAAATTTGAGTGATATGGGGTTAAACCACAGTTGAAAGGTTTTTCTATTGTATGACTTCTCAGAACCTTTATCTGGTAATGTATAATCTTTAAGAGGGAGATGGAGTATACAGCATTTCCCAAACTTATTTGACCATAGAATCCCTTTTTAAAAATCTCTTGAAATCTACAGATGAGAACCTAAAGAGGTGCTGCCCTGGGGAAAAGGGGGTCCAGGCATGTTCATTTCAATAATTACTGCTTGAGCACCATGTGCAAGGCTCTGCAACAGATGTTGGGGATGAGAGACAGAGTCACAGAGAGAACTAAAGAACCTGCCCTCCTGCTCTTCATGAAAGTCACAGGCAATGCACTGCAATGCAATGTAATAAGGGCCTTATGGAAGGCACTGGGAAAAGCTGGTGGGAGGAAATGGTTGAGCCATGCCTTATAGGATAAGTACAGGTTGGATGGAGGGGATAGAATGAAAATGGAAACATTCCAATACCCCTTGCAGTCAGGAATGGATAAACAAACTGTGGTTCATCTACATCACAAAATACTACTCAGCAATAGAAAAGGAACAAACTACTGATACACACAATAACGTGGATGAATCTCAAATGCATTATGCTAAGTAAAAGAAGCCAGACCAAAGGCTATGACTTCTTTTCATATGACATACTGGGAGAAACAAAACTGTAGGGACGGAATATACATCAGCGGTTGTCAGGGGCTGTAGGTAAGGGAAAGGGTTGACTACAAAAGGGCATAAGAGAGTTTTTATGTGTGACAGAATCATTCTAAATATTAAGGTGGTAGTTTTACACAACTGTATGCATTTGTCAAGACATGCAGAACAGTGTGCGCTAAAAATAGTGAATTTTACTGGGTCTATATTATATCTTATTATAAAAATAATGGGGAAAAAAAGGTGGGATGGATGTGGTCATTCCAGGGATAAAAATACACAATGTATATGGGAAATGGAAATAGTCACATTGCTAATGGAAGGTGTATGGGGGCATGGTGAAAGATCAAACTAAATGTGCTTTGGCTACCGTGGGAAAACACTGAGCACCATAAGGAAGCATCTGGTAGGCAACAGGGGTAACATGAAGATTTTTGAGCAGTGGAGTGGCAGGATAAGATCTGTATTTTAAAAACCTAGCCCTCAGAATGGCCATCATCAAAAAATCTAGAAACAATAAATGCTGGAGAGGGTGTGGAGAAAAGGGAACACTCTTGCACTGTTGGTGGGAATGTGAATTGATACAGCCACTGTGGAGAACAGTATGGAGGTTCCTTAAAAAACTACAAATAGAACTACCATACGACCCACC